CATGCATACAGTATACTTGTGTATGGGGATATACTGTATACCATATAGCAAATCTCAACTGCTGGATTGCTTGTATCGCCACATAACATGAACTATATTGTCACTCAGTTTTAATCTGCTAAATGTGACTAAGTCATTAAGATATTAAAATATGATAAGCATTAATATCATGATTTTCTGTAAAACCACTTTGAAACATTGTGTATTTTGGAGTATTTGTACAAGTGCTGTACAAATAAATTTGAATTTAGTTAATATGACCAGTTCTTTAAAAAACAAAATGTCCTTCTATTTCTCTTTTCTGTAGCTTAGGAGATAATGGAGGTCACTGTTGTGTTTAAATCAAGTATCAACTTTGTCTAAGTTATTTCTCGTAAAATTCCATCAGATAAATAAAAAGACAAAATTGAGATGACAGCTGACATATAGAGGATAAAATTGTACGTATAATTTGGTTTTGAATTACATCTTTTGACTAATAATACCAGGCTTTGACAGATGGGAACAGTTTGAGAAATTATTGAGATCTTTCCTGAAACATGAGGGGAGACAATTGTGAGATTACTGGGGTCTTTTTCTTAACAAAAGTGTGACATTGTTTCTCCATTTAGTCTCACTGGTGTTAATTGATATGTTCAAGATGTGTTGTTTGCAGAGTTTCAGGGGAGACAATTGTGAGATTACTGGGGTCTTTTTCTTAACAAAAGTGTGACATTGTTTCTCCATTTAGTCTCATTGGTGTAAATTGATATGTTCAAGATGTGTTGTTTGCAGAGTTTCCCCTATTTTCAAATGGTTTGTGTGTTTGTTTGTTCAAAAGTAATGATTATGTACCAAAAATTGGGAATACATATGGGCACATATTATAACATATTGCTCTGAGACAAGCGCAAACTTTTGTATCGCATGTGCAAAATGGTATTTTAAGGCATTACTTTTAGGACTGTATTTAAGCAGCAGTGCCTGTCATGCACTGTGCGACATTGTTGGTGTCTTTATACATCAATTCACACTTGTTTCTCTTGCATACCTGCACAGTGCAGAGCTTTACAGCGATCTGAAGGGCTCATGCTGAAAAATGTCAAGGTAACAGCAGTGTGCGTCTGTGTTTGAGCGTGGAGTGTTTAGTAATCTCTAGCTTAGGCCAGTGCATTTGGACTGAACTCTGTTGTTTTTGTGTGATGCCTGTTCTAATGGGGAACTTCCCACAATGCTTTCATGTGGTTCACGGCTCAACTTTGTCTCATGGAAACAAGATTGTTGCTTGGCAATGGCACTAGGAGTTCCTTGAGTGATGAATGTATGAAATCAATCAAAGATTGAATGTGCCTTCATTGTGATGTCATAGACAACAGTTTTCAGCTGTCTTTTAGTTTTCCTCCTAATTTTTGCTATTTACATTTCGCATCAGTGAAGAAGTATAAAAATTAGAAGCATTGTAAATGACAATCATGTTTAAAATGACAGTTCAGTATAAAACTTTATGGTTACTGATTGCAATATTGAAATATTGAGGAAAAACAGTAGTATTGTGATTTTTTTTAATTTTTTTTCTAATTCAAAATAACTTTTCTGTTTTAATATATTTAAATATAATTAGCTGAATTTCCAGCATCATTACTCTAGTCTTCAGTGTCACATGATCCTTCAGAAATCATATGTTGATCTGCTGCTCAAGAAACATTTCTTATTATCAGTGTTGAAAACAGCTGTTTAATATTTTTGTGGAAATAGTTTTTTATTTGAATAGAAAATTCAGAAGGACATTGTTTATTTGAAATATATTGTCACATTATCTTTACTGTCACTTTTGATCAATTTAATGTGCTGAATAAATGTATTGTCTTTCTGACCTCAAACTTTTAAATGGTAGTTGTATGCAAATATGTAAGTATTTGAGAGTATATGGAGACATTGTTAAAAATCAGTTCATTTATGCAAAAAAATTAATAAGACTTAAATATTGTGCTCTATACAGTAACACCATCAGATAAGCATATATTATTATAACTTTCTTGTTTCATCATCTCACGTTATAAGTTACTGTATGTCTAGGTTTTTGACCATTTGTACCGCATTGCCCTCTTGTTATTTTATATTGTCTTAAAATCTCTGTTAAAAGGTATTTTTGTGTGTATGTTTATGTGACCTAACACACACAGCCCTGTGTAACCAGCTTCTAACCTCTAAATGACCAGAATAGACTAGAGTCATAACTCCTTGGCTTACTGGAAGCATCGAGTCTAGTTATTTGTGCTGGTGTTTTTACGTCTCAAATGTAGTCGCTAATTCTGCAGGTAAATAATAGATATCTCCTTCATAACATCACCTACTTCATAACTACTACACAATCTTGTTTGCATTGTGTTTATCATACAGTTTGTATAGTAGAATAAGCTAAGGGAGAAGAAAAACTAGAGATATCACTTCCAGGAGTGAAAGGAATATGATAGATGAGTGAGGGAGTGTGGTAAAGCAGAGAGCACATGCACAGCAGAGCCGGATAAACATAAGTTAGCCACACCCCCTTGAGGCCTCTCAGCCAATCACATCACACATTGCCTTATTAAGGGCAGCAGTGCTTGAGTGGTCCAGTAAGACGGAGGACAGAGAGATGGACATGTTTGCACGTGCATTTGCCGGTATTATAACACTGACTAGCATGGCTTGGCTTTTCTTAAAAACACAGCAGACTCATTTTTAGAGCTATTACTAGAGCTATGATATTTGAGACCTTTGCTCAATTTGGACTAATCATGAAATTGTCTTTTGATTTATTTGTATTATGCTGTACCTTTGCAATACAAATGAGATGACAAATGTACCATTTAAAGCAGGTCTGTTGTTATATAGCGATAAACATGTTAACATGCCCCGTCTGAGTTTTCTATGTTGTTTAGTGAGCCCCAAAGGACCTTTGGCCTCTCAGTGCTCCCTCTAGTGCACACTATGACAATGTCAACTTGTTACAATACTTTCACACCTAGTTGTGGTGTTTTACTATGTTCTATTGGCATATGCCTGTGTGTTTCAATAAATGGGCTTGTTACATTCTGTGTGGTTGGTTTTTCATTCTGTCGGTCTGAAGGGATGTTCATGCTAACAGTGATTTGCAGCAACATAGTGGCCGGCAGTCTTTAATTTTTCAGTAAGAATTGGCAATTTGAGTCAGTGTGATCGATAGAGACCCTTTAAAAGTTAACTTTATGCATGAAAGAAAACGTTTTTCACATGATCCAGATGCAGCTGGATACAGCTGTCAACTGTGAATCAGTGTTATTGTATTTATATACTATTATCATTTTTATTAATAGTTTAAATTGGCTTTTATATATA